GGGGGGGGGGGGGGGGGGGGGGGGAGAGGGTTTCCAAAAATCGAGATGGAGGCTTCACACACACCATTAAAGCCGCACCCCCGTGCATGATTAAAAAACAGGCGCGGATTTCATTGGGCGGTTCTGATGGCCATCTGGGCACTTCTTAATTCCGCCTGCAGAGACCCCTGTGGCAACTTACAATTCCCCTGACAGTTAGCTAATGCTTTGTCACCCTCTTAGATTTGGTGGTACCCTTTATCTTATCTAGCAATAAGGTAAATAAGCCTGGACATATTTACCCAAGATGGGGATTGACGTAATTAACATAACAAAACTCCTTGTTCATTCTTCTGTGATACGCATTCTAGGTGAACATATGTCACATTCTGTGGAGGATGAGTAACCTCTCCTGTCTGGAGGAGATACAAGCAGACCAAGCGCAGCCTTGACCATACCCGGTGGAAGGCCGGGGCGGATCCAATGTCCTTTCATTGAATAAACAAGCGCCGTATTTGACCATCGGATCTAAAAAGCAGCAGAGCCCATTCAGTTGGCATGAGAAAGACTCATAAACTTCCAATTACTCTGTTGATTTTCAGGTTGCAAACCCTTTATTGCCTTCCCTGCTGTAAAGGGCTCTTCCTGGTCATAAACCTTTACTGTCTTGGGAAGGGAATGTCAAGGCCACAGCAGGTGAATTCTTCCCTGAGGCTTGTTCACTTTTTGGAAAAAAGCAACTTTCTAGGGTTCAACATGTTAAAAAAGGAAGATATAAAATAAGGGGCCACAGTCCAAGCTCTCCAAAGGACAGGATGTTGCTTGAAGGATCACAAGGGACTTTCTGGCCTCCTTTGCTGGACAACCCAGATCCTAAGGCCTCTGCACTGGATCCAGCCATACAAAGGGTTTGGAGGCATCCATGCTCCTGTTCCCCATGGAAAAGCTGCATGACGTGTGGTGAGAATGAGGATGCTCAGCCTAAGAGAGGGGGACATACAGCGGGTGAGAGGCCTCATCAATGTCCGGCTCCACAGCCCCTTCGGCCGCATTCCCAAACCCAGAATGGCCACACAATTGTGAACGCCATCAAAGACTTCATGGCCGTGTTCACACACTAGCGTCTACCTGGTAAGAGAAGTAACCGGCTTTCTGAGTTCACACAGTCCACTGAACCCTGTACTGACCAACCAGGCTGGGTTTGTCCAACACACAAGCCAAGATAAAACTAATTCAGGCTTGTGTGTCCTGCAAATACGGGGGCCAGATCTTCTAACCCCTGCTGAAGCTGACCTTGCAGGGGCAGCCATTGCACAAGACAGGTGGGAGGAGAGAAGAGAGCCTGGGTCTGTTCTGATTCCAGAAAAGTCTTCCACTCGTAAATCTGGCTGCTGTTTCTCTGGGGTTCAGAGATGGCGACTTGGTGGCTCTTGAAATGGGGCTGAACTACAACTCCCAGAAGCCCTCAGCAGCAATGGCAATAGTGAAAACAGCGAGAATTGCAGTCCAGCAAGACCTAGAGAGGCCAAGGTATCTGGCCTTGCATCCGCGGAGGAGTGTTGCAACCAGGAAGGTCTAATTGCTGCATCAGAAGCACGAACGTTGAAGATGTGGAAGGAGAATGCGCCCAGCCGAGCAAGGGGGTTTCATCTTTCCAACTGTCTCGGCAACCCACCGTCCAGGGGAAAGATTGGAAAACACGGAAGGATTTTCAAATGCGTTTTGAAAAAGGGTTAGGAAGGCTGAACAGGGAGATGTGTGGATGGGGCTTAGGTATTTAAGAGATGTCAACAAGGATGAGAAGCACTTGGGCCTAAATTTAAATGTTTCCAGCTGTATTTGCGTGGGCTCCATCCCCTTCCATGTCACCTGCAAGAGGCCATAGGTCTTAAGCACAAGATGGGGGGAGGACTTCAGTCTTATACCTGTCCGGGTTCAGCATGTAAATCTACAAGGGGAAAGGCTCCCTGGCAGGTTGGGAAAATCTACCCAAGAAACCAGTGAACTAAGGCAATTCTAGGTTGGAGACATGGCTATAATGGTTAGGGTCCCCCTTTCTGGACATCCTCGGGCCCACAGGCTTCAAGAGGCCCAACACAGACTGCCCCCCAGCCTGCAACCCCTGCCCTCACCTGAAACACCACGGGGAAAGAGAGAATCAGTCAAGGCTGCACATGGCACACGGACGTGAGCGTGCCCAATCTTTGGCCCAAGAAGAGGGGCAAAAGCACTGCTCTGCTGGGTGTCTTCTGACTGCCAACTCTGCACACGGTGATAAAGCCTCAGCTAACGAGAACTGCCCTGCTGGACATGGCACAGCCCCTGTGGACATCCATGGGGCAAACTCAGTCCTGCTCCGTCCAGCTGTCTCCGGGGCCGCGATGGATGACCATGCGAGGGCCAGGGCAAACCGTCTCTCCGCGTAGCTGTGGCTCCTCCCGCTGGTACCACTCCTCTTCGCTGAAATCTGGGAAGAAGAAAGCAATTTCCTTGCTGGCTGAGGCGGAAGAGTCTGGGGGAAAAGAGAAGAGGTCAGCCTCCCCTGAAAGGATAAGCAACACAGCTCTGTGGGTCTGCACGAGACACCGATAGGCGGTTGGTGGTTTCGCCAACTGCTAAAGAGGTGGGTTTCGCACATGCTAAAGCATGCAAAGGTCATCCATGCTCAGCCTGTAAGCCTTCCTTTGGCCTGGTTGATGCAGCCTGTGACACTCTGGGCAACAGTTGCCCTTAGGGCTTGACAAACACAGCACAATTAACAAATTTCACAGCTGAATGCCACAGACCCAGTCTGGTGTCCTACAGCTGTGGGAGATTACCCTTCCCACAAACCCTTACAGGTGGCCATGCAGGCTGGGGTGGTGAGGGGATGAGGAGCAGCTCCAGAGCATGGTTTCGCCTGGGGGGGGGGATCTGATCTTCGCCTCAGGGATACGGCCCCTCTCTGCCCGAATCCGTGGAGGGAGCAGGCCGGGCAGGTCTTCTCTGATCAGAGGCAGGGCTCCAGGTGGCAGGCAGTCTTTGGGTCCAACCCCAGAGCCATCAGGCATCTTCTGTAGCTGCCTGCCCAGTGGGACGCCCTGGCAAGATCCCCAAAGCAACAAGACCAATTGGCACGGACTGACTCCAGGTCGCCAAGTCTCTATTGCAGTGTTTCTCAACCTTGGCCACTTGAAGGCATGTGGACTTCAATTCCCAGAATTCCCCAGCCAGCCAGTTGCACACAGCTCCCAGTCCTTCAAGAATCACCCGTCAAACCCTTTTCTCCGAATTCAGCTCCAGGACTCACCCGAGCCATGGACAGTGTTCCGGGTGTCGGTGAGACCCAAAGTCCCGCGGATGGATTCCGGGGCTGTGTGCCGGGCACGATACACCTTGGTGGGTCCCATCAGGGATCTCCAGCGTGCGATGGCTTCCTCGTGAGCCAGGATATACACCCTCATGGGGCCGCTGAAAAGGCAAGGAGAGATAAATCCATGAGGCACTACCTGATCTCTGTATAGTTCAGGATCCTTGTTCCCTCTTCCTTCCTTCTCCCGAACCTGGAACCCCTTTGATCTGGAACAACACCCACATTTCCCTGTGTGGAATATCAGCGGAGAGAGAGTCTAAGATCTAGCCCTGGATGGTTCCTAAAGTAAATGCACCATACATAGTCATCTGAAGTTGTAACCTCACAGAATAACTTCTGGCTATGTATGAAGCTGGTCATGCACTGCCTCCTGGTGGTCCATGTAACTCAAAACACCACACAGGAGTTTCTGGATTATGCGCCATCAAGTCGGCGCCAGCTTAGTGACCACAAAGAGATTTTTCTCCCAGAAGGTCTGTTCCCTGCCTGGTCTTTCAGGTCTTCCAACAGTGCACTCATCACTCTGAGTCCATCCTTTGGCTGCTGGTCGTCCTCTTCTCTTTCCTTCCACCTTTCCGAACATTAGAACCTTCTCCAGAAGCTGGATCTTCACAGAATTTGTCCCAAATATCATAACTTGAGCCTGGTCAGTTGTGCATGAAGTGAGAACTCTGGGTTGATTGGTTCAATGATTCATTGATTTGTTTTCTTGGCAGTCCATGGTATTCTCAGGAGTCTTCTCCAACACCAAAGTTCAAAAGCATCCATGCTCTTCCTGTCCTGCTTCTTCAAAGTCCAACTTTGTTTCCACAGAGCATCACAGGGAATCTCATGGCTTGCACGATTCTGACCTTTGTAGGTATGGACACACCAAGGCATTGGAGCATCTTTTCCAAGGCCTTCATGGCTGCTCTACCAAGTGCTAGTCTGTGGCGTATTTCTTGACTGCTTGTTTCTTTACTGTTGATGGTTGATCCTAAAAGGCAGAAACAATCTACCGCTTTGACATTTTCATTGTCATAACACAGGATTTACATTGTGCAAAAAGAAAGAAAGCCCCCCCCCCACCTCCAAGGAAGGGGTGGAAGTCACGTAAAAGCCTCATATTGGGGGCATGACATAATCTGACACCTGTATATCTCTTCCCGAGACCTTAAGGGAAGATGGTCCATAAATATCATTCTGTTAGTTGTAGCCCTGACATCTGATTCATCCTTTAAGTCACTCAGACCTTGACCAACGAGTCGCAACCTGTTTTCTGCCATCTTACCCTAGCACATTTTTGCTGAAAGGCGCAGAAAATTCAATTTAGTACACTGAGAGCTTTGAAGTAGACAAGATGGCCAAAGAAAGTTTCTCCAAGAATGCAGAATGGGGTGGGGGGGGACCACACAAGGAAAGGGACTGGGAAAACACGTCTGCCAGCGCTAACACGGTGCCCTTAATATCCAGTTAGGGTTACAATTTAGTTTTCAATATTCTGCTCTGGTTTTCTGCAAGAATGTACTTCAAGAGAAGACGCTCGTCAGCTTAGGAGAAGTTTTAGTAAAGCACACTATTTCCAAGAAAATGTGCATAAATTGATAGTGCAAGATCCAAATGTGTGTGCACACGTGTGTATACAAATGCATATAGAGAGGGGTATCTGGAGCAGGGGGCCACTGGCTTCAAAAGCTGGGCACAACAAGGCAATTGAAGCTGCCCCCTTTCACATGTGGGTCTGATTGCCCGGCTGCACCCACGAAATGGAAGCCACCGGCCACTGCTGTGGACGCCCCTCAGGCCTATATGGACCGGACTGGGATGGGGAGACCCAGGTGCTAATCCCCGCTTAGGCCCAGAAGCCGGCTGGGGACTTAGGCCAGTCCCTCCCTCTCAGCCCGTGACCGGGAAGCCAAAACCTCTCTCTGCCAACCTGCCCTGCGCCCTGGGGTAGATTCTGGCCCATCATCTTCAACAAAGACTCCTTCGTCCTGCAGTGGATGGACGTGGGTTAATAAGTAATAATTATATACATTCATATACCATAAATTTATCCCTGTGTGGGTCTGCACAGGCATGCATGTGTATTTATATGTCCTGTATGTGTGTAAATGTGTGTCCTTTTGTCTGAGTGTACACACACACACACAAATATTCTGACCACGGAGGCAACAGACAAGAGCTAGTAAAACTCTTCCTAGGATTTAGAAAAAGTTTCCCATCTTTTCCATTCAGAATTGTTGAGAAATGCTGCTTTGTCCCAGTTGGACTAAACATCAGTCAGACGGGCTGGGCTGTCGGTTACTGAATTTTAGCTACCACCCTATCTATTCGGTTGAGAATTTAGGTTCCTGCTCTAACAAAAGAGTTATTTTTTAAGACTTCAAGTCACTCTGCCTCTTTTGCATCAGAACAGCAAGATATATTTACAGGAGGGGTCTCCGGGGAGCAGGGTGGTCAAAAAAGTCAAGATGGTGGCTGTGACAGAGTGATTGAAGTCCCTCCCCTTTTTTACATGTAGGACTTTTTCAATGTTCCCCCCACCCCCGGCAAATTTCACCCTCCTTTAGAACAAAACTAATGAGTGTTTGGTGTGAAGGTAGCTGGGGGAACTGAGAGGTCCCTGTAGGGCTGGGAAGGGGAAGGGGGTCCTCTCCTTCCCCACCAGCTGTGGACTCACCTGGACATGAACTCCACCAGCCTCTGGTAGAAAAAGCGCCCTGGAGGAAGAAGAGGAACCTCTCAGAAAAAAGGCAGTTTCAAATCTCCACTCTCTCCACTCTGCTTGTCCTCAGTGCAAGCAAGTGCCCTCAGTGACCTAGATGCACCACGAAGTGGCTTGGATCCCACATGGAGGCCCTGGCAGGAGCCCCAGCACCTACAGCTTGGCTTGCATGCCCCCACCCCCAATTTCCACCTACAGGAGAGATGCAGCAGCCAAGGAGGCCAAAGATTACAAGAACAGAGCTATTGCGAGACTTCAGCTTTGATCCCTGCCCCCAGGATGCCCTCTGACCCACACAAAGGAACTGGGGGAAGGATCGGGCCCTTGGGCCCCATCCTTTCCTTTGGCCCAACTGCATGAATGTCTGCCCATATCTGGGTCAGGTTCACCCAGGAGGACTTTTCAACTCCATACCCACGAAAGCCAGCGGTGTGGAGGTGGCCAACCCTAGAAGGTCCAGATTTTAAGCATTAGAAAGCTGGAAATTATTTCTCCAAGGCCCCCAAATGGGGGCTGGGAGGTTCCAGATTCTCTCTGCTGAACCCACTGGACTCCCTTCACCTGGATATGAAGACCTTCAAGGTGCGGGGAGCCTCCGACCATCAGAAGAAATCCGACCTGGATCAAACCTGAGGGCCACCTAGCCCAGCTTCTGTGATGCCCGGAGGCCAACTGGGATGGACTGGGGAGGATCCCAAGCCTGGACTGGAGTGCAAGAGACCCTTCCCCAGTCTTTCCCAGCAGCCAGGATTTTAGCCCTGCTGGATCTGGAGGCCTTGACACCAACCTGAGTGCTCCTGGTAGAAGCGCTGGCTGTCCTCCCTACTCCAGAGCAGGTCCTTTGTCCGGACGATCAAGAACCTGTGGTTCAGAATGGTTTCATGTACGGCCTAGGAGAAGACGAAGAAGAATGTAACGGGAAGGCTGCAAAAGTGCAAAGCGGCCACCCCACGCCATCCGGCCACAGACCTGAGAGGCTTCTGATGGACGTGGCAGACCTTGTTATTTGGCTGCTGAGAAACATGGCCTCCGTTGCTGCAGCCTCAGACTGCGTCTTTGTCGCCACAACACACTTCGGTGGGAAGGCTGCAAAGCGCTTTTAAAGTGGGCCACCACGTATTAGCCCAGGACTGGCCAAAGGATGCGAGAGGCTCTCAGCAACCCACTTGCCCTGGAGGTCTGTTGGATCACCCAGAACCCACCCTGACCTCTAAGCCCAGCTTTTACAGGGAAACAAACCTAAGATAATCCGGACAAGCGGAGGATGCAAAGGAGACCCCAGAACAGCACCAGCCAATTGCAAAAGAGAGGAGGGGATCCTGGGGCAGCAGGAGGTCAAGCCCTCCACATCTGTGCCGCTTGACGCTGACCCATGGGCTGCCTTATGCGCCACTGGAAAGCCAGATGCTGGCCTGAACTGGGCTCTGCTGACCGCCAGCTCCTTCTGTAAGGGGAAGTGGGGGCAGAAAGGCACGAATGCCCTGGAGAATGTGGAGAGGGCGAGGGTCTCTCCAAAGGCTGGGGCCAGGGGTGCCACCCATGAAGCTGCTTGAGAGGAAACAGGGCACAGGACGCCATTCCCAGCATGACCGACATTGGCCTGCGGGATTCCTTCGCGCAAAATGCGGTGACAGGCGCTAACCGCTACAGAATTCCTTCAAAGAGGACAAGATCCTCCCTGGCCAGTGGATTCTGGGGCTGTCCCTATTACCCCATCCCAGTTTTTAGTCTATAACCCTTCAGATGGGCAGCACGCGTGGGCAGGGGGGCACTCTTCCACCTGCGGCTTGCACCCACCCCAGAGGCATCCGGTTGGCCACCAGGGCTGGGTGAAGGCCAGCGGATGCCCGAAGCAGAGCCCGACCACGGCCCTTCACCACTCAACTGACCAGGCACTAGGAAGCGCTGAACACCAAAGTCGAGCATGGCAGTGAAAGGGTTAAGGGCGCGAGAGCTGCAGTGCCCCCTTCACTTGGGGGCCCAGGCAGGGCTTGTGCACCTGAGGGCTTAATCCAGGGCTGCTGACCGCCCTCAAGGCTAAGGCTGGAATTAACCACAGTCTAGAGCAGGGTTTCTCCACCTTGGCGGCTTGAAGATGGGAGGACTCCAACTCCCAGAATTCCCCAGCTTTGCT